GTCCCCATTCCGGATTTGGCTGGAAGGAAGGAGATATTTGATTATTACCTGGGCAAGATCAAAGTTGGCAATGATGTTGATGTGAATGTTCTCTCGAGAGGAACAACGGGTTTCACAGGTGGGTAGTGTGTCATATATAAGTATTCGGAGAAGTCTGTTGGTTTGTTGGTAGTCTGAACAGATGTGTGATTGAATATACACCCTATATGATTCTTGATTATGGTGTATTAGGGATAGTTATTTTTTAAAAAGTAATTTTTGAGAATTTCTTGTTACTATGTGTTACTATGTAATTATTTTTTCATATTGCAGGTGCTGATATAAAAAATGTAACCAATCAAGCAGCACTAAGGGCAGCAGCTGATCAGGTAGATTCGGTCTCCATGAAGCATTTGGAAGCAGCGAGAGATAAAGTACTGATGGGTAAGGACAATCAAATCCCACATTGTAATGTCAATCTAAGATTTGGAATGGATTTTGGTGAAAATTCTTGATGGGTTGTATTATCCACAGTCAATAGTGAAAATGAACTTTACATATACTTTTTTCTAGTGAAAATAAAAACTTTTGGATGTCATGTACACCCACCAACACACCCCACACACACCTACGCATGCACACACACACATGTATGCTCTATGCATATTATTGTACAAGTTTTAACTTCTAGGTCCAGAGAAGAAGTCGCGTATCCCAGATGAGGAAGCCAACCTTGTCACTGCATACCATGAAGGCGGTCATGCGCTGGTAGCCCATTATACCAAGGACTCACATCCACTTCACAAGGTCACAATCATTCCCAGAGGCCCATCGCTTGGACATGTAAGGAAAACATTTTTTTTATTTTTTTATTCCTCACTACTCAGTAATGTTTTTCATTCCTAGCTCATTACCCATGACTACTTACTAGATTAATTTATCTTAGAAAAATTGATTAACAAAGAGGGTAAATGTATTGTTGTTTTTCCTTTTTCAGACTGCCTATATCCCTGCTAAGGAGCAGTACCACATGACGAGAAGTCAGATGCTTGCAACCATGGATTCCCTCATGGGAGGCCGAGCAGCAGAGGAACTCATTTTTGGAACAGACTTTATTACATCTGGGGCATCTTCTGATCTAAAAGTTAGTATATTCTTTATCTTGTCTTTGCAGTTGTGCAGTAGTTTGGAGGGGGAAAGGATTAACTTTTGTGTTTTTGTAGGCTGACTGTCAGTAACAGTAAAAGAGCAGATGTGGTTGTTAAGGGGACCGTCTGTTTTTTTTTTTTTTTTTTTTTTTTTTTTTTTTTTTTTAATTTTTTGATTTTTCGATTATATGTTCCTCTACTATTTTTCTTTCCTTAAACAGCAAGCCACAAGCATTGCCACGCACATGGTGAAGGACCTCGGCATGAGCGATCGTGTGGGCTTGAGGACCTTTGAAGACAACTCTGGCCAGCTGATCAGCACTGGAGACTCCCTTGGCCAGTCCACTAAGGAATCCATAGACCATGAAATTAAAAAATTACTACAGGTAGGGAGAGGGTGCTTGATAGGTTTATAAAGGAGACTATGGAATTTTGTATATGTGAGTGTTAAATTGAGTATGAGTGTTAAATTGAGTGTGAGTGTTAAATTGAGTGTGAGTGTTAAATTGAGTGTGAGTGTTAAATTGAGTGTGAGTGTTAAATTGAGTGTGAGTGTTAAATTGAGTGTGAGTGTTAAATTGAGTGTGAGTGTTAAATTGAGTGTGAGTTTAAATTGAGTGTGAGTGTTAAATTGAGTGTGTGTGTTAAATTGAGTGTGAGTGTTAAATTGAGTGTGAGTGTTAAATTAAGTGTGAGTGAGAATGAGTGTGAGGGTTAAACTGAGTGTGAGTGTTAAATTGAGTGAGTGTTAAATTAAGTGTGAGTGAGAATGAGTGTGAAAGTGAGTGTGAGAGTGAGTGAGAGAGTGAGTAAGACTGTGAGTGAGAGTGAGAGTATGTGTGTGTGTGTTTATGTGAGTGTGTGCGTGTGCGTGTGCATGTGCGTGTGCGCGTGCGCGTGCGCGTGCGCGTGCGCGTGCGCGTGCGCGTGCGCAGTGCGCGTGCGTGTGCGCGTGCGTGTGCGTGTGCGTGTGCGTGTGCGTGTGCGTGTGCGTGTGCGTGTGTGTGTGTGTGTGTGTGTGTGTGTGTGTGTGTGTGTGTGTGTGTGTGTGTGTGTGTGTGTGTGTGTGTGTGTGTGTGTGTGTGTGTGTGCATATTTGAAATTATTTCAGGCAAGGTGGATACTTCCCCAAGCCCTCCCTCTGTAAACTGACATACTAATTTTTTCCTCCTCCTCTAGGACTCGTACGAGCGTGCCAAATCCATTCTCAAAGCCCATGCCAAGGAGCACAAAGCCCTTGCTGAGTCCCTCATGAAGTATGAGACTCTAGATGCTGATGACATCAAGGCCATCCTGGATGGACGACCAGTGGCTAAGGACTTGTAGTTTGGGGTTAGGCTTAGGATGCCTTATTGTAACAAAGCCAGTCATGTCATATTCATCACATTATGACAAGAAAAATATCAAAGCTGTTGTTTTTGATTTATTTAAAGTGCAAGTATCATGAAGGATATTTAGTTTTATGCATTTCTAGATTTTTAAAAATAATCCCAAGATGATATATAAATTCTGGCATAAGCAGTTTCTTTGGCGGTAGTACATTTCGAAGATGTGTGACATTTGGAAATATTTTTACTTTGCTAGTAAGTCATGGTATTAGCATCACATTTAACTTTTTCATTGCCATTCACTGTTCATCTCCCATGTCATGATTTCAGGGTGATCATAGCAACACAGGGTAGATAGTAGGTTTGTAATGAGTTAGGTAATATCTATGAGGGAGTTAGAGCTCAGGACCTATATTGTCATAGTGAGAACTCCTTATTTGTCATCTTGTGAATTAAAGTACAATAACATTTGAAAATGACTATATGGTATATTTCCTTTTGTATATTTTCTTTCCTAAATAATTGATTTTTTTTAAAGTGAAGAAAACTCTGTGAATGTCAAAAATAGACTGTGTTTTCATTTTCATTTTTCTCTCCGTATAAAATGAAGGACATCAAGTATGTCAAGTATGTTGCATAATATCACTTGCTCCAACCTTGCTCCTTTCATACTTTCTTGATATGGAACAAATTATCAAACAAGGTGCTGATTCTAGGAGAAGACAGTTGCCAGGATGATCAATCCTTTCTGTAAACTTTCCAATGAATGCATAATTAGGGGAAAATGTCACATTGTGATTCTGTAAAGTAACTGGTATAATTTTCACATAACACAGACTGTGGGATGATTTTAGTTTTGCACAGATGAATGTGTGAATTTTTGTGTGTGGTTTCATTTTATTGATCTGCATTTGGATGTGACCATTTTCAGTTTTCATCACATGATACTAAATTGTGAATCTCTGCTCTGGATATGTAATAAATCCCACTGATTGCTGTGGTCTGTGGAAGAAGTCATTCTCACTTTGATATATTTTGCTGTGTAACTTTCACATCTTGGTGAATAATAACTTAGTGATGTGTAGACATTTTGCTGAATTAAACTTAAATTGGGAAGGAATCCTCCTGAGGCATGTGTCCATTAGTAAAGATTTCCCCCCTCTTTGATATTCCATTGGTATTTCAACTATTATTTATGTATTCATTAAGTATTACTACTGGTATTATGATTATCCCAATGACAGTGATGGTTATGATACCACTTGGTATAATTAGATGAAAAATTTTTTTTTTTCATAAGCTGTTGTAAGGTTGTACTTAAGGCTGAGTGTCTCCACTCTTCAGCCTCATTAGAAAGTGATGGACAGAATTCTTAGCAGTGATCTTGAAGTACTATGATTAATTTTCACTGTCAAGAAGGAAATAAAGCAGCTGTCATTATGCACCTTTAAGATAAAAAACTATCTTGCCTGTATCTTTGCCATGAACTTTGGCTCACTTTCTCATCAGTACTTTCAGTGTTCATTCATTGTCATCATTACATATTTCACATTATTTTCAGAAGGTAGGGTAGGTGTAGAGATTTTATCAATATATAGAAGAAAGTAGATTATTGATTCAATATGGGTGCATTTTTGTGGAAAGAAGTTTACTTTGTACATTTCATGCATGAGCATTTTCTCATGTGGATAGACTTCTTTTTCTTTGTCTGTCCTTTAGATTCTCATTTGTGAAGTACATTTTTTGAGCATAGAAATAAAGGATTGTATTTTTTTGTTTTGTTTTTTGTTTTCCTAGTGCTAGTCATATAACCTGATGCCGCTGGGGGTGGCATATAGACAAATGCTATGCCCACCATTTAGTTTATTAATTGTCTTTACATGTAGATGGTTCCACAGTGAGTCAATTATTAGTACTATCTATCTCACCTATTTAACCCTTTTCCTTGATTTTCAAAAATATTTTCTGGTATCTTCTATTGATTTTGTAATGTCATTAACATTATAATAATTATAATGTCAGTAATAGTAATAAAAGCTTTGATATTTATAGCATTAGTTAAAAAAAAAAGTTTTCCTGCAAACTCAAGGAATGGTGAAATCAGATGACATCACAAGGTCTACTAATTGACTCTTTAGTGGCCAAGCACTTGTGGAGTCATATGTACGGAGACATTTCACAAAACAATACTATGGTAAACACTACATTTTCCTGGCGACATGGGTTTAAATTGTATGTTACTTTAATAAAACTGTAAAACAACAATTAGCAAAAGGTTACTTTATATTTGTGCTCAGTCTGTTGTATGTTTTTAGGTTAAGTTACTATTGATTTTTGGCAAAGTTTAAAAGGTTGCTCCCACCTATGGAGACTGTATGTGTATTCTCTATAATTATTTTTTTCCTCAACATTATAAACTAACTGAATATTTGGATAATTAAATCACAACAGCAGTGTTCTATTTCTCTACTGTATTAGAATAAAAATCCCAAACACACATTAGTGTTTTCTCTCCTTTATACATATTGCACCAAGACAAAGCTCA